CCATGCTATTTTTGATGTGTGTTTTCAGAGGAGTGTTTTTGTGGCAGCAGGCAGTTTGTTGCTTGAAGAAAGTGAAAATATTCTAGGAAGTCAAGCTAGCTGAATTTAGATCTTAAGTGGTGCCAAAACTAATATAGCCTGTAACTAAGTGAGAGTGACTTTGCACAGTAAATGTCAGTCACCCGCAGCTTTGTCTTACATTTTCATATGAGCCTTTAAAAACCGAAAACATAAACAAAACCCCAGAAAACGTGGTAGCTGCTTACATCCAATCGAGTTATAGCTACAGTCTACTGCATAGGAGAGGCTGCTCCTCACCCTCTGCGCATAGCGAGGGCTCTGCTGGTGCTGGGGGCTGGACAGATGGGGATGGACTTGTCACAGCATCAAACGCCTCCGGTAGTGCGAGAGCTGGGCTGGCCTGGAGTGCCCTCTCTTGGCTGCTGCAGAAACCTCACATTTTTGGTAAGGACGGCGAAAGAGTCAGTCGGTTGTTACCATTTTAATTTTCCAGTGTGACGGACAGAGGTAAGCTGTATTGGGTATATTTCCAGATTTGCTTCCTAAGTACCTCTGATAGCTAACTGAGTGTGAATCTTTGGTGCCCATGGCAAGTTCGAATCCCTCACTTGAAACCGCAATAAAGTTACATGCTCCAGCAGCGTTGCACGTAGGACTTTGTTAACTTGGTGCTCCTGGGACTCTTAACATTTTAGCAGAGCTCAGGTTTTTAAGAGATTTCATACTGCTCTGAATCCAGGGATCCCAGAGGCAGCAACTGCAGTGGCCTCTGCTTGACTCTTTGCACTGCTAAATGAATCCAGAACAAATGAGGCTCTGAAAATAAGAAGAAAAATTTGACACCTGGACTCCAGGAAACATTTGTGGATTTTGATGAGGGAGCAGTAGGGGGGAAGGGAAAACCTGTGGTTCAACATAGTTAAATATATGGTGTGCTAAGCATGAATAAATTGTGACTATTTTAAACACGTTCATATACTCTGTGGCTGGCTCAAACACAAAGGAAAAGACAACAGCTACAACATACTAGTTCATCAAAGGGTTACCTGGAGGCCAGCATCCTGGGCTGCTGCTGGTGCGGTCAACTTCCATCATTTATACAAGTGGCAAACGTTTTTACATGTGATTCTTTTTTTAAAAAAAGAATTTGTGTTAGTGCTTGTGAGTTAAGAGGTTTTGTCTCCTGGTAGCCTTACTCTGCTGTCCAATTCCTTTCCTCATTGTTCATAAATGATTCATTTGTGTAAAGGAATCCTTCATTAAACTGAAGTTAAAAGTTCTTCTCTAAATGTACCAAGTCCAGTTCATACCCATTTTAAGATGACCAAATGGCATGGGGCTGTCCTGTGCACACTCCCTCTGCTGTAATGCAAAGTCATGTGGAAGGATAATAATTTCTTAAACTTGAAGTTGAGTCACTTCTGTATTCTAGCCGAGTACCATTACAGCAACATCTTAGCTCTGCATCTGGGGAGGGGGTTTCTTCCCAGCCTGTAAACTCCATCCAAGTAAATGAGCCTTTTACTTTAAAGCAAAGACTGAAATCTGGTCCTGACTGCTAGTGACTAAAAATCACTATTATCTGGCCTAATGTGAGCCAAGTAAAATGAATCAAGAGCCTTAGGGGAGGTGTGCAGTCACAGTTAGTGCTGTTTTTTAACCTCGAATGGCTCTAGCTGGTCTGTTAACACGGAAGTGGCTCTGAAGTCCATCAGGGCACTGTGGGAGTGAACTTGCCTTTTGCAGTTAGCATAGAAGGTAAGAATCTGTTTTTCAGCCTGCTGCTAGCACTGCTTTCTTTCAAAAGACAACAACCTACACAGTCTACTTGCACTCACTGTTTACAAGATGTGAATGTGAATTCAGTGTTTGCTGTCTTTCTTTAGCAGGTGTTCTTTAGGGTGCGTTTGGGTTTGAGTATATATCGTAAGGCAGGGTTTCCAAAAAACATTGTTCTTTTTGGTAAGAAAAGCACGGTGCAATCAACCGTTGCAATCACTTTCATGTTAAATTATAGAGAATATGCATTAATGATTACACCTTGAAATTCAGTAGGTCTGTGTCTTCACATGCGGCTTTGTTGCATTCTTCATGGCAATCGCATTGCAATTCACAGTTACTAGTAACAAACAGTGTTTTACAGCACTGTTCACATTACTGGCTTAGCCCTGTCACTGTGTAGTTTATATTGCTCTTCCTGTACAATAGCTCCCTCTGCTTGAAAACAGCAGTGTAATTATAACCCCTGTTTTGTATTTGCCTGATCAATGGTTTTTAATATGGGCCTCTTCTTTGAGATTTCTGCTGCTGCTGCTATTCATGAAGCAATTCCAATGTATGGCTTAATGCTCATACATGTTGAAAAGCAGCAATGATAACTATAGTGTTCTCAAAACTTTACTGCATAGGAACTGTGTGTGTTTGCAGGAACTCTATCTTCATTTTTAGCGTGAAGATTAGAGCTGGTTGGAACACTTTTTCGGCTAAAGTATCTCTTACCAAAACATGATGATTTATCAAAGCCAAAATTTTTTATTGCAGTGAAAACTTAGGTTGAAACAGGACTGTTTCTCATCAGAAACGTGGTAGTTAGGCCACTGAACTTGAATATCTGCATAGGAGAAGCTAATGGTGAGATTCCCATGTCCTACTTACGTGGTTCTGATCTGGAACCCAAAACAGAACAGCTTTGGATCAGACAGAGCAGGGATTTGAACTTGGTTCTCCCACATTCTCAGCCAGCGCCATAATTACTGGGCCAGTCATTCACTTGCAAATTTTTGTCAGCTTATCTGCATCAGTAAGGATGAGTGCTGGTTTTGTTCTGTTCATTTTTTTATCAATATAGCTAAGCCAGCAAAAGTCATAGTATAAAAGCTGTTGTGTCAGCAAAGGTGTAGTTTTGCTGAGAGAGCATTCACCCATTTAGGGAACCAGCATAAACCTTGCTTGCCATGGCAAGATGAGCCCATGATAGGAAAACTTGCTGGTTTAGTTCTATTAGCAAAGCCTTCCTAATGTGAACAGTGCCTTACTTGCTCGAAAATGGCTGTCTCAACATGATTCTGGGTTTGCAAAGTCCAAAAGTTTATTTTTATTTCGCATTGGAGCAAACACAAAAATTAAAACCATCTCAAAAGTCTGTGTGAAACAGAGTGTTTGTTCTGTGGTCAGCTGTCATCAGGATGGTTAGGCACATGGTTTTGTCGGCAAGGGCAGGCAAAGCTGACTCTCTACACAAAGGGCAGCAGTAACTTTACATTGTCAAACTTCAACACTCTTAAAGCAAAACCTCTTTTTTTTATATCTTGGAATCCTTTAGATTCTTCTTCTGGACTTCCTGCATTTGGGTTTGTTTTGTTTCTAAAAATTTCCAAAATATATGCAGAACATGGATAGCTTGCTATTTGAAACAAATGAAATCCTTTCCCTTCGGCATTGTCTGAGGCAGGTTTGAGCATAAACAGTCGGACAGCCCAAGCATATTGGCACGGGTTCAGTAGGCAGAACACCATTGCGCAGCAGAGGGAGGTGGCTGGGCTTGATTATCAAGACATGATACTCGCAAGGAAGCCTCTTCTGTACAATGCGGATACCCAGTGTTTGGGAAGATTATAAAATGGCAGGATTAAGCAGTAGAACAGGAGAGAATTATTAGTAATATGTATTTACTTGAATTCAGCTTCAACATGGCTTTTACTGCTGACATCTAATTTCAGATCTTTAATTTCAGCCATTTACAGATATTACATTCATTGCCTCATGTGTTTGCACATACCTTAAAAAAAATGTTCCCTTGGAAAGCAGTGTATAGTTGTATAAAAACAAAGAGTTAAAAAAGCATTCCTGTTTTCAAATTAACACTGAGGTGCTGAATTCACAGTGGTCTCTGTGATTTGAATTTTGCCCTTTTTTTATCCCTCTCATGCCCTGAATAAGATGCAAGTCCTGAGGGAAAAACAGTACATGATTATGCATTTGAAGACCCAGTGCATGCAAGGAGCATTTCTGAACTTTGAGCCCTTAGCAACGGGGAGAAAGGCTAATTCTAATCTTAAAAAAACAAACAAAGAAACAAAAAAACCCCCATAAATTTGCTTTTGTATCTTTCTGCCATTATATAATAAATTATGATCATTTCATTGGATTGAGGATGATTTTTTTAAATGGCTGAATGCATGATAGAAGTGGTATGTGACATTAGCAAAGGCTAATAATACTAGAAAAAGAATTAAGTTAATATCTTTGCATCTTACAGCCTCTCCAATGTGTATATTTTCTACTTCACATTCCTCTGTATGCACAACTACAGTGTTCCTTGTCTTCAGTAATAATCTTAGTTACTCTTCTGTTGCTCTCTCCTGTATTTTCCGTTAAGGAAGCTTCATGGGTGGAAAAAATGTCTTTTATACGTTGTCATGCAGATTTGACAAGGCAGGAACACTGCAGTGATACAGCAAATGTATACTGCTATTTCTTGAATGTTTCGGTTTTAATTTTTAATTTTAATTTAATAATATTTTAAATTAAATTTCTAATCATGCAATGATTTCTTTTAACATGAATTTTGCTGCTATGATGCTCTTGGATGGCATGCAGAATGGTTACTTCATGTAACATTAGCACATAACAGGCTCGATGGATGCTTGTGGAAGAATGCCAGTGTTGTTTTTCTGTTTGCAGGTTGGCCTGTCTGTTTCTGTGTATGTAAGAAGGGGGCAGGTAGGGTATCAGTCAGCTTTAAGATCTTAAAATTTCTTAATGGATGAGGCAAGTGACAGAACATCTTCCTACTGCAAACCTTTCTTTTTGTAAACAGTAAGCCTTGGCAGTATTAGTAGACAGTCCTTTTGAACATCTCAGCAAGCTTCAATTCTGTAGCATTAGATGATGAATGTGCTTAAGTAGTCTTTACATACTCAAAATAAACATCAGCTTTCTGGGGGCTTTTACTTTTTTTTTTTTTTTTTTTCCCCCAGGATCTCTTAGATCCAACAAGAACAGCCATTGTGATCAGCTCTTTGGTGGCAGGCGGAGCAGCTGAACGTGGGGGCAAGCTTTTACCAGGTGACCGCTTGGTGTTTGTAAATGAGAAATCTTTGGACAGTGCCACTTTAGCAGAGGCAGTTGAAGTGTTGAAATCTGTGCCCCCAGGTAGAGTTACTCTTGGAATCTGCAAGCCTTTGGTGGTAAGGACTGATTTTAATTTTTTTCTATTTGATTCTATGACATGTGTAGGCTGGGTTGTTGTATTTGGCGGAGGTGGGGGGAAATGCAGGGTAGAAGTAGGTATGCATGTGGAAAGCAACTAAGTTGCTATGCATATACCTCGACACATCCAGAAATTCTGGCTAGCTGGTGAATGGGCAGCTCAATGTCCAAAAGGTCTGACTGGAAAACCAGCATTCTCAAGTTCCTTCTGAAAGAATATCCCATGGAATCAGAAGGCATGTCTGGGCAAACCTATGTGCACTGGCCCTATGCATAGGTGTAACATGGTTTGAGCAATTCAGCAAATCAGTTAAATATGTACTGAAGTCCATTTCACTCTAAGACACTGCTAAGTGCTTGCTTGAGCTCCACTGACATCAAAGAAACTTAATCTGTTTGAAGTCAAGACTGTAAATTCAAGTAGAATTTCCTTTTTCTAGAATCAGGGCTTTGGAACAGACAGAAGTTTACTTGAGAACACTGCAGTATTGTTCATCAAGGGCACCCAGGCAAAATTAATTAAAGTAAAGCACCATCTAATAGAAAGTGCTTGTAATTCAAAGTGGTAGAGGAGTGGTGAAATAGGAATGCAGGAAGGCTGTTAAATATAATCTTTTATTTTCTAAAAAGTGGTATTTCATTGTTCATATCCTTGCATTTGTCTTTCTTTCCTACACATCTCTTTATTTTTTAGTATATCTGTACTAATATCTTCAAAGAATAAAAGCTGTTGTCTTCATCTTCTCCATTTATGGCTTCCCTTTTTTATAATTCTGTAACTTTTTTCTGTCTTTTTTCTAATGGCTGGTTCTCCCTCTCTCTTTTAGTTTATTGAAAAATGTGGGAATTCTTGTTTGTTTTCCTGACTCATCATTTTGATTGCCTTTCTTAGGGAGAAAGCAAAGAGGAGGAGAACATGCACAGTGTGGATTCCAGCAACATTAAAACCAGCCCTAGATCTCCAGAACCAATAGATAATATTAATATCTCAATAATACTTGAAGCACCACAGGTATTTGGTTACTCTTTTGATTCAGCTTAAGTTTATATGGACAGGAAATGATGTTTTAAAGTAAAAAAAAAGAAAAAAAAAAAGAAAAAAAAAAAAAGAATGTCCTTCAGATAAGATTTAAGTATTGGATAGAGTTCAGGCTGGATTCCCTCTGAAAAAGACTCTAACAGCTAAATGTATACTAATTGTATTGCGAACGGTAAGCATATGCATAGCACTTACCAATGCAGTTCCCAGACTGCCTTATCAAATTTACTATGTCATTAAAATACCTTGGGTTACCTTGGATATGAAATAGGAATGCTACGTTATTAGTAGTCATAAGTAATTGGTTCAGTTTTGCAAAGAGAGTAAGGTATGGGAGCAGAATGCTTTTTATTATAATGAAGCAAAACAAAAAAGTAGTCTAGTGTATAACGCAAGCTTGAAATCTGTTCTTCATAAACTTCCTATGTAGTCTTGAGTGATTTCTTTACTCTTCCTCAATTCTCCTCCTCTTTATTTTTTGAGAAATAATTCTGTTTATTGTGGGAGGATGAGGCACTAAAGATAGTGAGAAACTCAGATACCAGGGTAATAGGCAATAATATTGCAGTACTGACCTGTGTAGAGTGAGAGAGATGTGGATATTTTTTAATTTTCATCCATTCTCAAGTGCTTTGCAAAATTTTTATTAATTCACATTGGTAAATGCATTTTTTTTTTTAGACCAGAAAAGGCAATATATAAAAGATCATCCAGAACTGTAACACAGTAATAAAAATAAATTCTAGATTTTCTTGTTGCTAAACATGTCTACCTGTCTCTGGATACAAACATATCTTTAATGCTGAACTGGTATACTAGAACCACCAAAAGGAGCAATTATTATGGGGTAAATGTAGGTATACTATGTAGAAATTAGCTTGGACATGGTATTTACTGATTTTCATGGTGTAAAATGGAGTTTGTTGTTTTCCGGGTGCATAGGAAGGGTTTGTGGCAGAGCAATTAGTCGTCTGCCAGCTCAGATTGTTTCTCTGCTTCCTAAATAAAACTAATGTTAGTAAGTATTTTTAAATGAAATATTTTATCTTGAAGTCCTGCTGAATGTAGAAACTGGAATGATCAATTTGTACCAAATACATGCAAAGGTATTTGCTTGTATTTTGTTTTACCTTATGTGTGACAGCATTGATAGTAGCTTAGAGCAGTAGTATAAAATTTCCATCCATTTATCTTACCTGCTCATGTAAGAGCCAGGAGTGGTGTGTCACGATGGCTTCCACTCTTATGTACTAGCATAGTGCTGACAAAGCTGATTAAAAAAAAAAAAAAAAGAACTTGAAGATTTTTATATGCTACACAGTAGAGTTTACTGTCATGTTTGCAGTATTCCCTATTCCATTGCTAGCGTCTGCTACTGCAGTGCAGCAGTCTGTGATTATACATACCTAACTGCTGTATCAGGAATGGTAATACAAATTGCTGTGTGGTTCTGAGCTAAGTCAACTGTTTTATACAATGATGAAGTTGGTGCCTCTTACAGAAGTGTTTGGAGAATGATGCTGCAGAAAAGTGAAATGAAATGAAGTAAAGATGAAGAGAATTAGAATCTTTTCAGACTGGGTATTTTTTTGAGATTGGGGTACACAGGGCAAATAGGTTAAAGGAACATTTAAAGCTTACGAAAAATGTGCTAATTTCTAGATTGCTAATGTTCTGTTTTCATGCCAGCTAGTAGTATTGCATTGTTTCCTTATGCTCTTGTCTGTCTCTTGTTTGCTCTCCTGCCTCTCATTTGAACTATGTGAACATTTTGGCAGCATCTGGGTTTTTTTTTCTGTATTTGTACAAACCTAACAAAACAGGATTCTGACACTAAAGGTCAGAAATAGCGAAGTACCTTGGGGAATCTGGGAAGGGGTAGGAAGCAGAAAGAAAAACATTTTGATTGAGGACCCCTGAATCTGTAGATTGGTTTCAGTGTTTGGGGTTTCGGTGCCTTGAAGATGGGGTTTGGGTATACATACTTGGTGGCCTGAAGAAAAGAGAGGAAAAGCTTTCTCTGTATGGCAAGCTTTCTGGTAGCGGTGCAAGGCATAAAATTTCAGAGATGCCTGTGCAGACTGACTCCATGAGCACCCCATTCAGTTTAGGTGAAGCATGGGGCATTGGAAATTGGGGACGCACCTGACAAATCCCACAAAAAGAACTGCTGAGTGATATCTTTCAGAGTGGCTTTTAATACCTTTTCTTTTGGTTTTGTTGTTTGGGTTTTTTTGGTTTGTTGCTTTGTGGTTTGAATTAATTAGAAAGTTGAACACTCTTCTCTTTAAAACAGTAAGGGTATTAGATAATGAACAGTCAATTATGTCTTTTTTTTTTTTTTTTTGAGGATGTGGGTCATCCATTCCCCCTCTCCTCCAGGTTAAAATATTGTATGGAAAACCCAAGGGCAGGACAAACGAGTGCGACTTTTGTTTTGGGTGGTTTGGTTTTCTTTTTTTATTGCTGATACTGTTGCATAAGCAAACTCGGGCTGTTTTTTATTTAGCTGATGGTATTGTAAGAAATGTACATGCATTCATAAAGTGATAGCAGATAAGTCTGAAGCACAGATATACTTTAGCTGAATTTATATATACTTTTTCCTGTAGGTTTTTTAGTGTTATTTAATAATTTTCATTCCCTAACTTCAGTCCAGATTGGTTATTCTGAATGGCTGCAGCAATATCTAAGCTGTGCAACTTAAATTTCTTTGTATTTAAAAAAGAATTGCAATGTCTGCTTTTGGTGTTAAAATCATCGGTCAGTGTATTTTCATTTAGAAAATGCAAAAGGCAGAAGATTTTAACTTTAAAAATCAGGATATACTTTTAATATGGGCCTCACACAAAACATAGCCTTAAAAGACTTAGCAAGAAACACAATGTAAAAATCTATATTCCTGTAATGTTTTATGCAGGGTTTCAGAGATGAAACACCTTTTAAAGAAGAACTTGTTGATGAACCAAGTTTGGACTTGGGAAGGTCATTTCAGCATTCTCAAAATGACAATGAATACGAGAAGGAGTCCTGGGAGATGCATGAATTTCTGAAACCCAGAACAGAAGAAATGGATGAAGAACGGGAAATGTTGGTGGATGATGAGTATGAAGACGATTCAGGCTTCCTGAAATATAATGCATCGTGTGGACAGAAGGCAACTTCAGAGAGGAACCTTGATACAGAACGATGGGCAAAGCAACTTGAGACTACTGAAATACAAGACTTAAGATCCAGTGTTAACTTAAGTCCAAAAGAATCCCTAGAATATCCATTCAATAAAGATAAAATGGTAAGAAATGCTGTATTGGTCTCAGTGCTGTAGCCTGCCCATGGGACCCATACCTCAAGGAAAATGCCAGACCTAAACTCTGTAAGGAGTCTTACTAATGCTTTAAATACTAGATGAGATCTGGGCACCTCTAACAGGCACCCGTCTATCCTTTTGTACATTCTGGAAGTTTCTTTTGGCTACTTAGTGTCTGTATATTTAACTGCTCGAATGAGATACATGCTGTGGTTGGTGTATTTACAGGCATCCTGTACTTGCGTCTTCTTTCCCATCTCTGACTTGTGGGCTCGGTTCTTTTTTGCAAGCTGTACTACTATGGTGCATATCAGTAATAGCAGACTATCACTTCGTGGTTTTAATAGGTCAGGGGCTTCACCAGCAATGTCAGTGAAAGGAGGTCCCTCTTTTCCTCATTATTTTTAATCCAAATCAGTTCCTTGAGCCAGATGATAGTGCAGTTGAGAGAAAAATGATACGGTGGAAGCAATTGTAACAAGCATACTGGTGGTTGAAGGAATAGATGGAGACAGAGCTTCAGATAAATTGCGAAACTTTTATTTATATGTCCTCCTCAAGTATTCTGAGAATTGTTTTTTTTCTGATCTTTGTTCATTCACTTGCCAAACAAAAAGTGGTAACATCAGCCTTCCATGCACCAGCTTCCAAGATGTATGCTTTTGTATGAAAAAACTGAAGTGGAAATGCATTTAATATCACAGCCACAGAGAATTTCAGGTTTTGTTTGGCTTGTCCCCTTATGCGCTGTGTACATAAACAGGCTAACATGCATCTTCTCATGACAGTTTTATACCAGAGTGCACAATATTAAATTTATACATTTGTTACTTAAAAACAAAAGAGGTTCTTTGCTCTTGCTTATTTTGCCTGGATTACAGGCAAGTAGAAAGATACAGTTACTTTATAATGCTATTGCACGTAACATTTTTCATGCCTCTTCTTAATACAGTGCATAAATGAGCAGTTAGTATTTCATAGTTATCTGAATAAATATGAATGTAGTTAAGAAAATGTGAATGTAAAAATCAATGTTCATGTCAAATACCCCTGTATAAGTTGATACTGTTGCTTTCTAACTTTAATTACTTTTTTCTCCTCTGTCAAGTGTGAAGAAAATGCTAGTATAAGTTCACTATTTTCTGGAACCACAGCACACAGTGGCTACCAAAAAGACATATTTGATACTGAAACTACCCAGTCAGGAGCAAAAACCAAGATGGATTTAGGTTTGTAAGAAGTATTTTCTTTATCTTATAACTTCATATTTACAACTTTAAATTTTATACCAAAATACAAATTCTTTCAAATGATGAAGTACTGAAATGAGGCTTCTGCAGGCTTAAGACAGTCTGGCTTTAAATAGGTTTCAGGTTCATGATCTTGCTTCCTGCTCCAAATCATCTACAGTTGTCACAAAGTGATATTGAAAGTGGTGCATCTTTGTCCTGCCCTTGGAGAACCACTTTCTTCTGTGTAGCTAACGTCCCCAGTAGGACTCCATGTGTAAGTAAAATAGCTCATGCCTGTATTTTTGCACTTAAAAAAAAAGGGGGGGGTGGGCAGGCTCTGGAGGTAACTTTCCCACAACCAAAATTTGCAAGTGAACTCTATGGTAGATAGTTGCCCCATATCTTGGTTTTATAATCTGTGCTCAGGAGCAAAATTTCTGCTTGTCAGATGGCCAGAGATGGATGGTTAGAATTTGGTAGATCATTAGGGAAATCTATCAGCCTGCCTGAGATAGCACTCACTGGTTGGGAGAAAGGAGGCTGGGTTGTTTCCTTTCTTTGTCACCTGCATCTTGTACAGCAGACACTGTAAGCTACAGTGACAGAATGACAACTCTTGCAAGGAGCTCTGGTGGTTCAATTAATGTTGATACTTATGTCACCAAAATGACATCAATCTTCCCCCATGTGATGGGGTTCTGTGCTGGAGCAGGGCTTTGCACTGCTCTCCCTGCATAAAGGATGGATTTGCTATTTCTAATCATGTGTTTTTGTGAGGAGCATCTGTCATGTAAAGTTGAACCTAAGCATGTCTCAGTTCCACAAAATTTGGCATTTCCTGTTATTACTTAACCGCATGTGCATCAGAAGCAAGGTGCTATAAAAAAGTGTTTAGTGTGGTTTAAATTTCCTTAGAAAATAAATGTTCTGTATCTCTAAGCCTCTTGATCATCACACAACATCCACATTTGGAACATGGTGAGCTAAGGGGTTTATTTCCAAGGGTGATAACTGGTAGATGCAGGGATAGAGGAAGCAAAAGTTCACATCTACACCTTTTCTTCTTCAGATAAAAAGCTTCAGATTGACTCTAAAGGACCTGGACTTGCTGTTGATCTGGAAGCTATTGAAAAGGAAGAACTAAAAGGGGAGGTTTATGTTTTTTCCAAGAACTCGGAATCTGAGAGAGTAACCACCTTAGCTCAGCCCAGAACAGCGTTGTGCAGGTACGGAGAAAGATTCCAGTTTTGGAAGATTTTCAGTTAATGATCTTAACTGTCTTCTTGCTTTACTTAGCTGAGTAATCATCAAAAGCTGTGTGAAACAGTAAGACATACAAAAATAGCCAGTTCTATGACTTTTGACCAAGGAGCTGGATTGTGCCTTACAACCTTATTGAATCTTTATTTCCCACATTTCCTCCCCTGAGTACTGGGACAGAAAAGTGTGAATGGCTCTGCCACCTACTTCACTTACTCCACAGTCAGGGGAATATGGATGTGGCCTGGAGGAAAGGGACGTAACCTTTACCAGCAGCATAGGTCATTACTGCTTAAGGAGCTCTCCCCTTAGCTCCTTACCATAGCTCTGTCCTCTTGGTTTTCCCTTTCCTTTGCTCTTCCTTTTGGGAAGAGCAGTTCAGCCATTGCTCTCAGGCCTCTGGAGGAAATTTTAGTCTTGCCAGTGGTGCTGAGAAGCCTTGAGCTGGCACGGGTTGTAGATATTTGCCACATCTGTCAAGTGTCCCATTCTTTCCCCACCAGTTTTGGGAGAGTGGGATCTGCTTTTTTGGGGCCTGTCGATTCAAATCCCCAGTACTTCCCTAATTCATCCGTAATCTTCTCTCAGAGGGAAAGCAGCTCAACAGTAAGGTGAGGAGATTATTTCTCCAGCATAACATCCTACTTCCTTTTTGTAGTTTAAGAGTAGCATTTACAGTTCTCAGGATCTACAGAAAATGTGTGCAAGGATGTATTGTTTGAACTTTTCTGTGGGGGCATGCAATTCCATACTTCCATTCCTATTCTGTGAATAGGTGAGTCACATATTGTATAGAAGTTCAGTTAACACCCTGTTTTGGGATGTTTAATGGAACACACCAGATCTGTTCTCCCAGTTGCATCATGATCTGCTTTCTGGTCAGCTAGACTGGTTTATCATGTTTAGATCCCTCTATAAGAATCGCAGCATATTTATTGGAAAGTAAATGTTAGTTGCTTAAATAGTAATTTTGAATGAGTAAATGCAGTGCAGATTTGTATATCACAGAGCAGCTTATAAATTTGGTCTGCCCATCATGTTTATTTCTGGAGCATTCCTTAAGTACATTTAAACCTAAATACAAAAATTCCTGTCTAGTCTGTTGACTCTGCATATTTGGTTTGAACTGGACAGTGGAAGAAGGTGTTGCTGTCTCACTGCCAGATACAAAATATGCAAGGAATTGCAACCTGGCATGGGTGATGCCTTTTTTATTTTTTATTCCTCTCCTCTCTCTGCCCCCAATTAGTGAATTACCTGAGAGAGAAGAAGGAGAAGGAGAAGAAACTCCAAACTTCAGCCACTGGGGACCACCACGGACGTATGTTCATATGATTACATTATTTCTTCCCATTTACCTTATGTCTTTCTTTCTATGAGCCCAATTAGTTCTCGTGGTTTTTTTCTTCCCTCCTCTGCCAATAACTTTAAGGTACTTGTGTACCTTGGGCTTTCTTAGATACAGTGAATTTTTAACAGATGTTCAACAAAATTATGCCTTCTATTTATACAGCTGACTTGGGAAAGCTTGGTGGGTTTACGTTGTGGATGACCTACAAGTTCTTGCTCATTTAGTAACTATTAGGTGTGAACAATGCACATAGTGCTGCTGTCTCCTTTTTCATGGGTTCTCTGCTAAACTTAATGGCAGAATTCCAAATTGCTGAGCCAAGTTTTAGCCACATCCTCGTTGTATTGTTAACATTTTAAAGTGAATTGTTTTGATGGTCCTAAGTAAAGTATGATCAGAAAATTTCTGCTTAAGCTGATTAATATGCGTCTGATACACTGAAGTCAGTGTTCAGAAAGTTGTATGAAACGCTTTGTTTTATTATTTGTCTAGCATGCCATGTGCAGTGTTTGCCATTTCCAGACAATTTGCTCAAACTGAGGGAGGATGAGTGTTTACTTGAAGACCTGCCTATTTTACCTTGAGTTTCTATGAAATAGAAGCCTATGCCCAGTGGGCATGGGTTGGCAGCAGAATTTTGTTCTTTTTGTGGGGTGAGGTCTGCTCAGGGTAAAAAACCAACTCTGTTGAGAGCATTCTTAGGCTTCTGACTTTATGCCTTTACTCTGTTAAATCTTCTTGAAAGACCAGAAGCTTACATTTATTTAAGGCTTTCCATTCATAGTTTAAAAAAACTGTTTCAAGCTGTTAAACTACCACATGTGTTTTTTCAGTGTTGAGATCTTCAGAGACCCTCACGTGTCTCTTGGAATCAGTATTGTTGGTGGACAAACTGTCATAAAGCGTCTGAAGAATGGAGAAGAACTTAAAGGGATCTTTATCAAACAAGTTTTGGAAGACAGCCCAGCAGGAAGAACACGGGCTTTAAAAACTGGAGATAAAATACTTGAGGTAAATGCAGATAAACCTACCTTTTCATTCTAAGAAATAAGGATTGACTCAAACAGCTTTGGGAAGAGAGAGGGGCAAAATACTGCCACTGCTTCATGAAGTATTGACGACACTGTGCTTTGAAAACCGAAAGAAACCCCTGGTGTCATCTTTTCGTTTTTTAAGGGACACTATGGAGTTCTTTTAACATTCTCCTCTATATTTAAGAAAAGATAGGTCCTAGTATCTGATGTGGAAATGAAAAAAATGAGACTGCTCTCTTCCCATATAAATGAGTAAGAAGTTATAGCATACCTTTATAAGCATAAGTTATAATATATAGGAGAACATAGACTCTTTGTACTGAAATTTGGGCTGTTGTTTTGTGTGTGTGAATTTGGAGTAGTTAACAGTCTGATTAACTACTATTTGGGGGAAATACCTGATTCTGGCAGGTGCTGTAGGGAAGAATGCCATTCCTGGCTCTCATATCTCTGGCTCGTGTTGATTTTTTTTTTTTTTCCCCTCTTTTTTCTCCAAATGAATACTTCTGAATCTGGGTTCCCAAGCAGATAGTGCTTTAGGGTTGTGTGTGATGTTTTGAAAAATTGTTTCAAAATAGGTTTAGTTCACAAACAGGTAAAATCTGAAAGAGTTGTATTATACCTAATATTACATCTAGCACTCTGACAATCTTATTCCTTATGTTTTTATCTAGAAGAACTGCTTTGGGAAACACATGGCCATCTTTTAATTATGAATACTAAGTAATATACGTTTCCTTAAACCATCATGGAAACATACTTTACAAATAATTTCTCTTAACTGCTTTTGGTACCTTCCTCAGATATACTAAGCTTCTGCAAATGTGTGTGATCTCTTGTAATGACTCTGTGCCAAAGACAAGCTACCTAATAAAAATAAACATTGTTTGTTAGGTTTCTGGGATAGACCTACAAAATGCCACACACGAGGAAGCAGTAGAAGCTATCAAGAACGCAGGAAATCCTGTTGTGTTTGTAGTTCAGGGTTTGTCTAACATACCAAAAGTAAGTTTATTTCTATTTTTATTCCAAAACTTAATAAATGTATAATATGCATCTTATTTTAAACTTGCCCAAATTCCTTTCAGCGAGTTCCATCAATTTTTGTGTCCATTCTTTCTGTCAGAGTATCGCTTATAGACCATGTGATTAACTGATTACTTGTCTGGCTTGATTTGAAACCTCATTTCTCTGATATAAATTGAGTAGATGTAAATCTGTTGACTAGGTGTTAATTCAGTTCTCCTACCAGTGCGATTGATTCTGGCCCTGTGTATTTTAATTTGCTCATATTTCATAATCTAAAAATATACTCTGTTTTCCAAATGAACAAAAGTGTAATTAAAATTAGTCAGATTCACAGTAAGAGCTCTGTGTAAAATCTGTCACCAAAGGGACCTGAAGTGTAGTTATTTGGGAGTAAGTTAATTTTCAAGAGATTTTAGGCGTCTCCTCATCAAGGCCAAGGCAAGAAATGCCTTTTAATGCCTTAGTAAGAAAACCCATACAGTTCTGCCTGCCTTGAAGTACACACAAAACCCAAGACTTCTATATACTTTTGCTATAATCTGAGAAGTTAATTGGGATTTTTGGTGTATTAGTAGACTTGAGGAGACCTTTTTGACAACTGTAGACAAACCTGGCACCACTGTGTGTCCATTATTTTTCCAGTGCTCCAGGGAGTCTTTCAAAATCTATTAAGACTTTCAGCAGCTATGCCAGAAAGGTGCTCAAGCAGTGATGGCAAAAATCACAGTGCTAGTAACTGAGTTTGTTCCCTTTCTGTATCGGCTTTTTCACAGAAAAGATCCAAAAAAACTGTCAGAACATTCAAGTGGTCAGCTGCATCTCTGACCCTTACTTTCCTAGTCAATTTAGAGAGATCAAGGGAAAGACAGATAACTTGAAATTTGAGTTGCTTCGCTAGGAAACTGAACATTCAGACTTTCAGCAGTGCTGCACAGTCCCAGTTCCCATTCACCAAAAATAAGGTGCTGCCAGAGGAGTGGGAATATATTACATTTTGAAATGTAATATATTGGGGCAACATGAAGAGTGCACTAGGTAGCTTTATTGTTGTCATTACCTAACTTTTGGATGTTTGTTTTGTGGCTATAATGTTCTTTCTAATGTGTGTAACATACGTATTGTTTTTCAGGTGGTTTCTGCTGTACAGCCTAAGGGAATCAAAGTCAGCAAAGATCAGGATGCAGACAAAGAAAATAAGAGTGAAAAGGTATTTATTCCTTTCAATGCTATACCTAAGTTTTACTAAGTCAAACGGTATAATAGCATGCATTATAACTCCATGATAAGCACTGCCCCCTCCCCCCTGTACAAAATGAAATTTGAAGTGTTTTGTTGAAATATCTTTGATTCAAGTAATTTTTGCCAAATTTCTGCCAAATACAAGGCAGGTTTCTGACAAATGTTCTGTGGGTCTCCCCTGGGTGCTGAAACCCTGTACTTACTGCAGCTCTTCACTGGCATCTTTCTGGAAGTACCTGCTTTGCTCCACGTAGAGACAAATTGGTTCTCTTTGTTCAGTAGAAGCAGAAAATAATAACATGTACACAAATGATATCCTTAATGTAAGGCTGGCTGAAATTCAGTAAAATCATGTTATAGGTCAATTAAATCTGCTAAGTCTCCTACATTTCCCATTGCTGTGTAAAAGAAGGAAATGGCTGAGTGATCTGTAGCTAGCCAGCTAATTGTGAAGCAATTACTGCACAGTAACTTTCCAGCAACTTCACAGCAGATTTAAAAGAGAAAGAATCTGTTTGGTCTAAACCAGTGGGTTTGTTTTAATCACTGCAATAAGGGAAAAATTTAATTTCTCATTCCCAAACAGATTTCTCTAATGGCCTATGTATTTTCCTGTGGGAACTGTGCTGACTGATGAGTGTAGGTCAGGTACTTTGAGGGTGTCAGAACTGGAGGAGCAGAGACGGAATTAGTGCAGACAATAACTTTTGCCCAGTGCAGTTTAACAGGCCAACTACAAATACAATGAACTCTTCATTTGATCCTACTCAGTAGTCTGGTGTGTGGTGGATAACTGGAGAAGGCCTGCTTGCCTCCAAAAGTTTTTTGTAAGACTCCTTTCAGATCCTGTCAGATACAGAAGCTATGAGGCTCAGTTATTCAAAAAAATCAAGAAAGGTGTTGAAGTCATGCTTTCATGCCAGTGGATAATACTTATAATAAAACAGTTACAATCCCTTTTCTTGGTTTTGTTATCTATATTTCTAATCTCAAAAGCACTCATCCTCTTGCAATGTGCTGCCTTTAATCTCTAGGACTCCAGTGTGTTGCATTCTATAGCATTTGGAGGTTAGAGAGAGAGCCTAATCTTTTTCAAACCTTTTTCATCCATTGGTGCTGTAAACTGGTGGGTGGAATATAGAAGAGCTTCAGTGCCTAAATACGTAGCTCCTTTTTAGCTTTGAACATTGATTCACAAAGCAGTCATACTGTGCTACAGTAGGGGCATCTTTGAGTTGGAAAGAGTTGCTATTAGTGGATTACTAGTCCGCATCCCTACGGGGAATCAATGATATTTCTAGTCCAGTCTTCAAAGTGTCACAAAAGAGTTTGGTTTGAAAGCAGCCGCATCCAGCTGGAAAATCTGCCTTTTCCTGTATGATGAATTATCTTTTCAATACTGAAGGTTTTCTCTGATTTGTTGGTGTTTATCCTCCTCTGTTTGTTTAAAAATGGTTACTTGAAGTAATTTATATAAAACCATTTAAAACAATTGAGCTTCTTGTGGACAAACCAGATATTAATGTTATTTTGCTGGTTGGCTATGTAAAATGCACTTTTGCCTCTGCTGCAAACAGCTGTGTTAATACAAAAATATGGTGTAATGGAGGACTCTGGCACAATTTACTCACCTGGCTTTTCAGTGGGTCAGGAGGGACGACAGCAACTTGTCCTTCTGAGCCATAGCAAACTGCTGGATAAGCTTAGGTGTCGTGTAATTTCACACAGACTTTCTAACAGATGTTTAACATCTTAAAAAGCCAAAGGGTCAACATTTAGACTAGGAGTTATTACTAAATTATAGCGATACTACTGATTTGTCATAGGTAGCTGAAAGTGGGACTGCAGGTTTTCCATCTATACCTGCTCAGTAATGTAGAACACGAGTCCTTTCATGCTTCCTGGATCTTCTGGATTTTGCACAGTTCCACCTGTGTTGGTGTCAAGCAAAAAGTGGGAGCCATATTTGGCATATTGTATACTTTGGGGAAACAGCTGTCACCTTTCCAAGTGCTCTTATACACTCTTATTACTATTGGATTGAAATAATTTCATTTAATATTGTTACGCTGTCTTCGGTGGAGTACTTCCCTGTAATGTTTTTTAAATGGATGGGATGATGTATATCTTATCTCACAAAATTTTCTACGTAGCTCTGTTTCAGTCTGCTAGTTAGACTATTCTATACAAATTTAGGCTCAAGATTTTAGAAATCCATACGCAGGTTCAGCTTTCATTGTACACAGTGAAAAATGTTATTCGGAGTTTGATGTTTGGGTGTTGAGTTGTATTTCTCAGCTATAGACGAAATTAATTATGGGCATTCTGGTTGCTCTAATGGCATATCATACTCAGTGTTCTCTTTCTAAAGTGCATCCTGCTATTAGTAGTGGGGTTGCAAGGGATACAGTTGAACGTAATTTAATGAAATCATGTAGCAAACTAAGGCACGATCCAGTTACTTGGAGCTATAAAAACAGTTGCTCCAACGAACAAGCGCCTGTTTTCATTAGATTCAGAGCCTATTCTTCATGCCTGCTATGCGCCGCTATATGCATCATTATAGGAGCTGCCTGTATTTATGTGAGGTAATATTCTAAGTTATAATTCAAAATCTTTTTTAAATTTAAGCCAAAATATAGATAAACTGTTATGTCTAAATATTCATAGATGCATGAAGATTGACTTCTTATTTTGTATTTAAAAGTTTGACTTTTATCAGTACCACACAATTTTGTTATTGAGTCTGTAATGAGAAATGAGGTATAATTTAATGTTTATTTTTAACCCTTGATTAATATTCACACGTTCATGTTTATGATGATACACAAATATTTTGCCAACAAGTAAATGTACAGTTGTATTTTCTTTTTTTGTTGTTCAGTGTCATTTGTTGTTCTGATTTCTTGCGTAAAAAGCCTATGCTGCAGAATTTAGCATTGTAATTAAGTGCTGTGTATGTACACGTACAGTGCAGTAGACAATAGGATTTTTTTTCTTGTGCGTGGAGGTTACAAAACATATAACTGTTTGTCTTTGAATCCGTTAGAGAAAATATGGGGCTCCGCCTCCAATGAAATTGCCACCTCCTTATAAAGCACTTGAAAGACTGCCTGCAGAGGAAGCAAACATGGATGAAGAGGAGGATGAAGATGCTTGTGCAGAGAGTGAGTAGTGCCACAATCATTACATCAGATTACATTTATGAAACACAATCAGATTGTGATAAACGTATCTGCCATTTATTGCTTGTATTATGGGAAGTAGTGCTCAGTGTGGCAATAGCATCTAATCCTCAACCTTGTTCTTACCAAGGGCTACTGATCTGTGACTTAGATAGTCTTCTCTTCCCAGTCAGGCTCCTATAGCTCAGCTCTTCTGAAGAGGTGTAGGAAGGGCTCTGTTTATTTTCAGTCTAAAAATGTCTAAGCAATGTCTAGAGGACTTGCTTTGGTAGTGATGTCAGCAGTGAAAGCCAGATGTTGTGATTTACTGTTGTAATTGCAGTGGTGGTTGAGCAGGCGTAGGTTGAGAACCACTGGTGCATAGTCCTTGTCCAGAAAAGCCTGCAGTTGATTTCAGACAATGCTGTTCAAGCAAAATATTTTCCTTTAAAAAGAAAAATCTGCTGATTTATTGTTTCAGTACTCTACTGAAAAAAAGGATCCCCACCTTTTATGGGAAAGGTTCTGCAATTGTCCACTTCTGGGTTTTGCAATGAATTATGATGATATGCACTCTGTGGAAGAGTAGAAACCTAAAGATGCAGTACAACTTGAGAGCTTCTGGCAGTGTGACTTAGATTCCAGCATACTGCTTTGTTAATTACAACTTTGGATAAATGGAATATTACTATCCATGGCTTATTTTCCAATAAAATATTTAGAAATACTAAAATTGCAGTTAGGAGACCTAAATTGTTTTCTAAAAGTAGTTACCTTACTTTTATTTCTTCTCTTTATACTCTCTTGTACCAAATCAGCATACATGTGGGGGTTTTGTTGGGGTTTGGTTTGGATTTTTTGCTACAGTGATTTTTCTCATCATCTTTTGTCTTGGACTGTTTTTTGTTTGCACTGGTTATGGGTAAGCCAAAGCAGAGATGCCTTTGTAGCTTTTGACCTTGAAGCGACCATGGCTCCCATTCAGAGTGGAAGCTCCTAATTTGGGGCCTGCTGGTGGGAAAGCTTTTCCAGCTGCTCTTGCTGATTTTCTTGGCAATGGCGTGCCATTGAAGCCGAGATAATTAATGAATTTGGTTGGTTTGTCACTTTTAGGGCTGGTTTGGTGGAGACAAGAAGGATTTTGGAAGGTTGTTCTCATGGAAACAGTAATGGGGGCACAGAAGCAGAGTGTTCAGCTCTGCCTCTGTTGCTTTAAGGGAAAGCTGCAAGTTCTTGAACCAACTGAGATTTTCCCAGAACTCCCCCTTACTGAGTTTTGTCATCTCATATGTTTGGAGTATGCCACATAGTTACCTGAAGAAGGTTTTTCAGTATTTTTGTGGGCAGCGGTAGTCAGGAGGAGCATTTGACTACAGACTCTGTGGATGTTGGATTGAATGTATCTTGAGCTTTCAAAACAACTCTGTAAACCTCCAATTGTAGCAAACTGATTTCAGCTTGTTATTAAAGTTACAATTCCCAGTTAAAGGATATATTTGATAAGTAGCCTGACAGCTGACTTACTAATTAGGACATGCCTCAATCCGAGTGCTTGCTAGACTTAAGTTAATACTCTGCACAGAAATAATTTCTTATTGATGGGCTTGGTCATTTTTTAGCTGTTCTGCCATCCCTAATGATATTGCCAGCTGAGTCTAATCGCTGAAAAGGTAAAGCTACTTCTGATATTAAATTCATCAGTCCTACCAGATTTGGCAGCAGCAGCAAGCTGATCTATTCAGATGAATCTCCTTCTCTCTACCCTTTTTACTGACTGAAGTTGAATGTTTTGCAATAGCCATCTTTCCCATGAATCTTGGAAAACAAAGATGTACATTTTCCATTTTATTCTTCCCCACCTCATTCTGTTTCTTTAAAATAAAAAACAGGCTAAGGAAGCTTAAACTAAGTTTTATACCTCAACCCTTGAAGTAAAAAGCATGTTAGAAATGATCTAAGTGTACTTAATTATATTAAGCATCGTGGCAGCTGTAGAATGGGCTTTTACAGAGTCTCTTGTCTGTGATCACTTGAAAAACAAAGTTTTCTCTGTAAATTCCAGTACAGCATTGTTTTTGTGAACTACTTGGTGTTGATAACTTCTGTTCTGATTCTTGAGCACCTTTCCCAGAAATCTTAGTGCAGGCCAGTACTTCCCTTTCTAGCACTGTCCATTTGCATTTTCGTATTGATCCGTTCCTTACCCACTTATCCTACTAATTCTACTGTTTTTGTAAACTTACCTAATAATTTTCTGAGCTTCACTGAACAGGTGAACTAGATTTATTGTCTTCCCTATTTAGAAGATCAGGTATCTTAAAAGGAAGAAGTGGTGTCAGCTCAGGTAAATTCACGTCACAGCCTCTCCTTCTTTTGTTTACTTCTGTAGTTCTCAATCTGTGCCAATAGCATAGAAGGCCTTAGCAGGCATTTTGAAGTGGGACAGCTGTTAAATCTGTACTCTGGTTGTGCTCTTGATAGATTTTTATTTTGGTTTTTAGCATTCTTACTAATGCAACTGCAGTGTCACGAACCTGCTCATCAATTTCTTTCATACTCCAGAAATACTTTACTTGCTCCACTTGACATTTTTTCTCCTTGCTTGTCACTTCTTTCGACCCATGCTTTCATCTTTTGTCTCCATGTCCTTCATCATTCCCCATACTGAAAATGAAAGCAAAGCGTTTTTAGTCTCCCTACCATATTTTGAAAATTTTTCTTTCCTTTCTGTTCCATCCATACTGCTGCACAGTCTCCACATTTTGTCTGTTTTCTCCTTAAAATGGCTGAATAACCTTTTGGTATTGATTTAACTTCCCCTGTGAGATCTAAATCCACTTGCCTTTTGGCAATGCTCCCTTTTATTTCTGCTTTTCCACCACAGAAACTGTAGCTTTCACTGCTGAGTTGTTGTAACAAACAGTCATTTCTTGTAGATGTTCTGCCTTTTCTTTTTAAAGGGCTTGGGTTTTTTGTTTTTTTTTTTTGATCCAAATAGAGTGAATCTACTAGGTAGCTCTTGGTTTAGAGAAACTCCAGATGTCCTCCATGTTTCTGTGGTTTAAGAAGCTCAAAGAAGTTCCAGGTGGTTGGGGGCTTGGGGTTTTTTTGTTTGTTTGTTTTTTAAAAATGTCATCTTGCACCCAAGACCCTCAGTTTTAGACCTGCTTCTCTTTATGTTTCGGTTTCATTTGAACCACCATTAATTCCAATATTATTTTCTAATAATATTTTAGATAGTTGGGGTTTTTTTGCTAGACTTTGAAGGCAAGTTGAAAATAGCATTTCCTCTTGTTTTATTTCTTTTTCTAGTGACACTGTCAAATCTTCATCAGTATTCAACTCTAACCCTGTGTGATGTGCTTTTTGTTTACTCTTTGCTTTGACTTCACTGTTTTAAGGCTTGCAGTTTACGCTTTAAAATAGTTTTGTAAAACTTGCATCATGTGCATCCTGCTGGAAAAGGAGCCTTCAAAATGCTTCATCTTACAGAACTGAAAATGTTACAACATGCATTTGGAGTTTTTCCTCCCCATGCTGAAAACACTTCCTCCATGGCAAAGGTTATTTTGGAGGAGGTCCCTCTCCATGATAAGGTTTTTTAGGCTTCCTAAACCTTAAAAACATCAGGTTTTGAGTAGGGTTTTTTTTGTTTTTTTTTTAATCAAAGCAAGGAAGGGGAGGGGAGAGCATACAAAGGAGCTATTTGTACTTGTAAGCAGCTGTTCTACAGACTGCATCAATAAGCATTGGTGTGTTTTCCTTTAGTGGCGGATGGCTGTAGGTGTGCACTAAGAATTTGCTAATCGACTAATGTGCACCCTGTTGCGGCTTATTGCTATAATGAGGGGTTAGTAGTAAAAAGCAGCAGAGGAAATGGATGGGCAGAGTAGTTTGTAATGGAATGTTTTGTAAGGTTTTCCTTGGGGCATTCATAACTGTACAATTTAGATATACTTTTGTGATTGAGTTGAAGCAATCATAAGTTAGATAGGGAAGACCTTAAAAATCATTATAAGAAAGCTAAAAAGACAACTGTTGAAAGAACTTGGAATCCTTAATTTCAATTGATTTTGTATTTTTTTAGTAAAATCTTTTGTCTAGTTTTCTAGTTAGTTGACTGAGATTGGTCTGGTTGGTTTCAAATAAGTTTGGAATAATAAAAATAGATAATAGTAAAAAATTTGTGAAAGGTGGTTAAGATAATGGACTAGATACTGCTGTGCTCAGACTTCCTGTCTGCAAGGATATTCAACTGTATCTAATAAGGGGATAATAATGCCCCCTTTCTTTTATTTTGTCTCTAGATAATGCAGAAATCAATGAAGCTGTAAGAAAGCATAATGATTTATCTTCCTAAAATGCTTTTTGAGGAATGGTGGTTTCTCTACCAAAGCAAGAGATTTTAAAACTTCTCTAGTGTTTTGACTTTGCATTCCCCATTGTGATACATCCGTGGCTCCGTAGGGTGCAAGAGAGGTGAGTGTGTGTGTGCGCACACACATGTGTAGGTTGGTACAGACAAACCCACACTGCCTGTTGTCTAGATAGGGTTGGGTTCAGGTTAAAAAGTGCTTGGGCACGTGAGCAGAGTGCCCTCATCATACCTAAGGTTTTTAGCAGCTTCCATAGTGTCAACAATATCTGTACACACATGAGAGGATGGTGGCTTTCATTATATAGTTTTTTCATCTTGTGTTTTTAGAGTTCAGTTGAGACTTTGTGGAAGGTATGGTTGAGTATATGGGGCGTGCTTTAGGTGTAAACCTATGACCTCAGGAAGAGTCTATGTACTGCTGTGCGTGAAGATGGGAAAACAATCATTGTCACTTTGGAAAAATGCCAGAATTATTAGCAATAACTAAATAAAAACAAAACCACTGATAAATATATAATTCTTGAAAATCTGACTGTTTAGAGTTTGTTTTATGTGAAGCTGTGCTAAAACAAAGGAAAAGCAATTCCTAATTTTATTTAAATTTTTTTCTTGGGGTGGGGGGGAC